CAAACAAAAGAGTAGCAACATTTCAGGATGTCAAAAAAAAAAAAAAAAAAAAAAAGAGTAGCAACATTTCAATTGATTTTTTTGCCAGTAAAAGTGATTTTTTTCCCTCGTTTTTGCTGGGTGGGAGGATTGCATTTGCACCGCATAAGAATTCAATGATACAAGAGGAAGAGTCGTGGAGAAAGCACAACCACCACGATTGAAATCATTTTTTTAGTTTCTATTAGATGTGTGGAACTAACAACAATAATTAAAATTCGAAATAAATAAAAACACAATATACTTAAAGTTGATGGTTTAGGCAAATTGGAATATGTGAGGCGAAGAGGGCTGGACCCATTGGCAATATAAGCATTAATGGGCCTTGAAAACAAACAAGAAAATTAAATAAGGAGTTGGAGGTATCTGTCAGTCACATGCAGCACAGACAGGTTAAGGGGATCAATCACCAAAGTCACATGCCATGATCCTCTCCTTCTTTTGGTAGCATATTATTTTGTCTCCTTCCCTTAAACCCTTCCACCAATCAATCCCTTCATTATTCATCTTTTATACTCCCCTATAATACTATTATACTACATTTTACTAACTTTAATGGCTCTATATAAACGATTAGTTATCTTTTCAGGTTGCTAAAACCCATCAAAAAAAATGTCTACAGTTCATTATGCCATCCTCGTGGCACTTCTTGTCATCTCCGCCAATGCAATCTCTCCTCCAGAGAAGTTGAAACCCAAACAAACGGTTCCTGCTTCTCCTCCACTTCCTACAATCTCTGCTGCCGCCAAAGCTTTCACCGACGCACACAACAAAGCCAGAGCCATGGTAGGTGTCTCGCCGCTAGTATGGAGCCAGACGCTGGAGGCAGCAGCGAACCGGCTGGCTCGTTACCAGAGGAACCAGAAGAAATGCGAGTTTGCGAGTCTAAACCAAGGGAAATACGGTGCAAACCAGCTTTGGGCCAAGGGTTTGGCCGTGCCGCCAGCTCTTGCGGTGGAGACATGGGTGAAAGAGAAAGCATTCTACGACTACAAGTCGGACAAGTGTGCCGCGAACCACATGTGTGGTGTCTATAAACAAGTCGTGTGGAGAGACTCAAAGGAGCTTGGCTGTGCTCAAGCCATGTGTACTAAGGAGTCAACTGTTTTAACCATCTGTTTCTATAATCCCCCGGGAAATATAATTGGCCAAAAGCCATACTAGAGAAAATGTATTACTACTTTTACTAGAGTATCTATTAATTGTCCAAAAAAATAATGAGCATTGCATTGAGATATTTTTTTTAATGGCAAGTAACTGTCAAAGAGACAAGATCCAATCATCCAGACAAAACACAACATTATTACTATTAGAAAATTGGGGACATAGACAACTATTTGTTTATACACACACGCACGTTATATGAAGAATCATCATCATATCATATGAATGAATAAATATTATTTGCCAGCTTCTCTAAGAATAAGATATCTGAATGTAAAGCTGTGAGAGATCCAATCAATGGGCATGCGTGATTTACTACCAGATTGACATTTCTTCAAACATGTTCTTGAATATTCCGGTATGTTCCGGTTAACCATTTCCGCCAAACCAGCCTGACATAAACCGGAGTGTTTTGCAAACGTCTCCACCAGCTTTGGCAGTTGGATTTTCTGATTGCCTAAGCTTATGTTCATTCTTATGTAGTCTTCTTTAGACGTTTCTAGTTCTTGCTGGATTCTCTTTGGTGTGTATACACGAACCTGTTTCAAAACAAAACAATAACCAAGAAGCAGAGACTTCAGCTTTTTAATTGACATTTTAGAGGTTTCAAAGATTCTCTTAGCTCTATCTTAAAGTGGTAAAAATTACCGGGGGATCGGAGTGGCTGCCTGAAGCAAGTGCAAAATGTAGGAGAGGTTCTGGATGATCGATTGCGTAAACTAATCTTTCATCTTCTGCTTTGAACTTCTTTGAAGCAAATAGCAGTCTAAGCCACTATTAAGAGAAAAGAAAAAATGAAAACATAAATGTCTTTTTACACCATAAGTTTTGTGATTTGAAGCCAACGTTTCATAATTTCATGCTTTCTTCTCAAACTTATTACCAGTCCAGGATGAGACATTTTGCATCCAAGAATTGAGCTTTGTATTGCTTCAGCACTAAATGTGTGTCCACCAACATTATATGCCGCCTGAAGAAATACAAGAAAATTTGAATAAATGGTTCATGCGTCTTTCTCTGTGCAGAAGATGTTTGGTTACCTTGAGTAGCAGTTGGACTCTCTTCGAATTGCTCTGTGGAATCCCATAAGCTAAGAAGGCCTAAAGATATTTAAACAAACTGCAATAAGAGTTCGGAAAAAACGAGATTGGTTGGTGCAAGAAAGAGAGTTTTACATGCATCACAAGTGCATTGTGCACATTTATCCAGAACGCTAGCTTCTCCTCATGTTTCAACTTACTTGGATCTACTTCCTCCAACCTAATGATAAGAGACCTGCAAGAGCTTAAACATATCAAGATCCCCTAATTCACAAACAATCATCACTATATCAAAATCAAAAAGCCACTCTCACTTGAAGTTTTGCAGAAGATCTTCGACCTCACTGGCCTTTTTGGCGTCTCTGTAAATGCAAATCACTTCAACCATGTTGCTGTAAGCTTCACTAAAGCCCTTTTCTCTTTCTACACTGAAAGATTCATCTAGACCTACATCAAAAGAGGAGCTGTGTCCCAATCCAGGACTCGATGTATCGTACTGGTCAGAAGGCGATGATAAAGACGAGTCTGACGATGAAAGTCGTTGATGTAGTACAGAAGGTGGCTCTGCAAGCTTGCAGTATATTTCTGACATACACTTGACCATTCTTTCAGACAGATTGTTGGGTGTCTCTGGAACATGATCCGAGATACGGGTGCCAAGATGTTCAGCTAAACTGATTACTTTTTCTCCATTCTCCACATACAGCGGTTGGGAGTGACATGAGAGTATGGCTTTACTCCAAGAATCTTCTGTAGACGCTTTTTTACACTCCAATTCTGAACGCTGAGAGTGGCTACGTTGAAAACTGGACTCCGTTTGGTCTCTGACACCTGCAGGAGTTTCGGTTTCCCTTGGTTGGTTTTGATCATCACCAGGCAGATGATCTGTTGATTCTTCAGAAAAGTCTAGACGCCTTGTAGGGGTTGTTACAGGAGGAGACTTTGGCTTCTTCTTCTCCTCTAAATTTGGGGATACAGAAGATATTTTCTGGTCAAAGGCTTTTCGATATAGTGAAAGAAGATACTGTTCCAAATGAATAACTTCCATCTCCAGGACCGCTATGTCTTTGATGAGATCAAGAGCTGGCTGAAGAAGAAAGGAGAAAACAAGAACGTATCTTAAGATGAACAGAACTCGGTTTCTATAAAGATATCATACAGTTTTTGGAAATGCAAGTGACTACTAACCTTAGGCATGGGAATGTCGTTTGTTTCAGTCAGCATGTACGAAGAAGCTGTTTGATAACCTAACGCCTTCTCTAATGCATAACGAACCTTAAACTGATCTTCTAATCTTGTCTCAAGCTGATCAATCTGTGATTCCAATCACAGGAATAAGGTGACATAGCCTAATCCACGGAACAAGGACATGAACCAAGTAAAAAAATACACATTACCTCTTCCTTTAATGAAGATACGGTAACCGAATGACATTGATCATGCTTGGCTCTTGTTGATTCATTTGAACGATCCATGTTCTAAACCAAGACAGATAAAATACGTAAACAAAAAGCCTGTCTAAGAAGAGGTTTTATAAAAAAAGACATAAAAAGACTTATTTATGAGAGAGAGATTTGTTTCAATAAAAGTTAATACCAGAAAGGAAATTCTTCCAAAAGACAAGTAGGAAGGATACAAAGAAGAATAGCGAAGCATTGGTGTAAAGGCAGTCTTTCACAAAAAAATGCAAAGGAAAAAAGCAGCTTGGGGGATAAAGAGAGAGAAAAAGATACTTGTTAGTCAAAGAAACATAAAGATAAATCCAAGAAGGCAAGAATCATGTTCAGCTTCTTAGGCTGTTCTTTAACAAATACCAATGCACTTTATCACAAACTTTTTTACATGTTCAAAAAAAAAGGAAAAAAAGATGATCGTACTCACCAGCTTGATGCGTTGAGAGGCTTCAAAAGAAGAATTGGAAGGTTGATCTCCCTCAGCTCTTTTCTTTTGCTGGAAAGCTGGCACTGTGCATAAAGAGGAATCAATGGAAACGACATGAACAGAGCTACTAAAAGAGATTTTATTTTACGTTTTGGAAACATATTGCATGAAACCAAGACTTAAAAACATAGTTTTTACTCTTTTATCACCACATAAGCATTTAACAAGATCATTTTGTATCAGAATAAACTTAAGACATTAAGTGTTCATTCACTACTACACAAGCAAACTTTTAAAAGGATTTCATTGTCTAGTTCAGGACCACAAAACCTATAATATAAGCACTGGAAAACAGAGGATATGAGAGATTTTGCAAACATCACTGAAATTTCCAGTTTATGCCGTGACCCATCGCAGCAAGGGATTGCATTAACAGAAAAATAGGGACACATTTGGAACAATCTACATAATCAGAAGAAAAAAAAAAGTTTGGTAATAACGAACAACAATAGAGTAGACAGTTTACCTCTTTGATCGCTTGTGGGTATGGGGAATCCTCAAATCCAACTCCAAATCTCATTTGTCTCAAAGTTGCCACAAAGTTGCCCAAGGATTAACTAGAAATGCTTTAAGTGAACGAAACCGCATGGCTTATCAAACCTATATTAAAAAAAAAATCAGTTTAAACTGTTAAAGCAGAGTTAGCCTCAAAAGCTGAGCACATTTTGTAGAGAAAGGCAAGTGATTCTTCTTCACTTGTAAGACGACATGGGAAACTATAAACTTACTATCTTTCACCAAGGGAAGAAGCTTTGGAACACGACAAGGGAACAAAATAAGAGCGGTGGGTTTCAAATTAGGAAGAAAAGTTGGGTATGGCTTCATGTGTTCACGGAAATGGTGGTGAAAAGGAGAGCCGACTCGTGTCAAAAAGAAGCCAGTCACCAGTGTAGTGTGTACAAAGACCCTACGAGTCGTCTAATTTCCAAACAAATAGGCAAAAAAATGAGAGAGGGAGAGCTAGAGATCTACATAGACACAAGTCAAAATAGACAAGGTGACAAAAGTGTTGTTGCCTTACTAAAAGATAAAAGTTACCAGTATTAGCTGATGGTTCTATTCAATATCCATGAATTTAAACCACTAAAGGTGGGATGATTAATAATAAGGAAAAGAAAGAAAAGGAATATTTGTTAAAATAATGTGTGGATTTCTTCTTGGACATGTTGGCAAACAAGTCGGATTTGTTGACCGTAAGTACCTCTAACTCCTCCACTGTTCTTTCATAAATCACATGCCCCCCCATTGGCACCATAATATATTCTTTATCTTACTTGACTCTAACATCTTATTAATATTTAATCTATTCATATTGTTTTGACTTGACTTGAAAATGGAAACAGAGTATGAGTCAAAGAAAAGTTACCATAATAACGTAGTAGGAGATAAAGAGTGAGAGACATTTCAACGAACAGTTGATCTGCAATAAAACCTGTATCTCCTTGTTTCCGAAAATGAATTGGATACATTTATTAAATCAGTCCACCCCAAACCAAGGACATGGATCGAATGCAACCAAAGGGATTAAAAGGATAAGGAAGAACAAGGAAGAAGGCGTCACTCCCCAAGTCGTCGTCGACACATGCTTTTGTATTTTTGATGTGGCATATGAGCCCAAGCCCATCATAATTTTTTTATTTTAAAATTAAACGACAGCGTATGAGGAGGGAGGGAAACCCAGCTGATTGAATCGTCTAGGAAAGGTTTTTGACATTAACGAAAATGCCATTGAGAGTGAAATATGGGTGGAAGATCGGAAAAGGAAATAACCAAACCGAAAACCCAAAAGCCATGGCAACTGGTTTGGTTTGGAGTTTTAAGTCTTCTTTTCTTGACTTTTTGTAATTATTTAGATGCCCAACTTGATCCCTATTACATTCATCAGAGTCGTTGGTTCAGTTATTAAAAGCTTAATAAGCATTATAAAGAGATTCTCCATCGTTATCAAAATTGAGAAAATTTAGCAAACCCCCATGTGAGTTTTTTTTGTCGTTGTTAGTCTCTTTGCATTCCATTAGCAGCTCTAAGTGCCGTGCTCTTCTTCTTCTTCTTCTGTTTCTCTGATTATCTATCTTTATATATTCTGTCTCAGACAACCACCCCTCTGCCTCAGGTACCAACCATTACTAGACATTTTGTATTTTCTGTTTCTGCCCAACCAAGCTGTGTTTATTTGTGTGTGTTTCTATCTATCAAATCTCGGTGACGATCACTAGCTCTTTTATTTCCTAATGATGCTGTGGACTTAATTGCTGTTTAATTGATTTAAATTCCCCCTTGCTTGCGGTTAAATGAAATGCCTTTTTTTTTTTTGGTAAATATTTCATTGATGATAAACTGGTTGATGATGATCCTTTGCAGACAGGAGGAGAAGATCTGATGGGGTGCTTCTCCTGCTGCAAACCCTCTACCTCTGAGGTTATTAGTTATATCATTATTATCTTTGCTTTTGTCCTAAGCCCCCAAGTTCCTTTTTTTTTGCTTTCAAGTTGCCTCCTTTTTCCCCTGTTTTTTTTAGACTAAACCATATAAAAACATGCAGGATGATCCTTTTGAAGCTGAAACTGATATCGTCAAACAGGTGTCATCGTATGATGCTCACGTTGAAGAAGATGAACAGCTTGCTTTGGTCCTTCAAGTATCTAAACAAGAGGCTGAGGATGAAAGAAGGCGCACCAGAGACTTAGAAAAAGAGCATGCCCAGGAAATAGGAGAAAGGCCGCAAAACTATGACAACTCTTCTTCTTCTTCTTTGAAAGGCAAAAAAGATGGACAGACCTCTGAGGAGACAGACAAAAGAAAACAGTTTGAAGAACAAGTGAAGCAGCAGGATGAACAACTTGCTGTTCCTCCTCCTCCTCCTCCTCCTCCTCCTCTTCCACTTGATGAACATAGCAACATTTCCTCTGAAGCTCTCTTGGATGAAGATGATGAGCAGCGGGAGAGTTTGAAGGAGAAGGTTCAAACAAAGCCATCTGAAGATGACGATGGAAAGCTAGTAGAGGTGATTCCTCCTCCTAGGTAAGCTTATGTATATGCCTCTATTATTTTTATTTAAAAAAAAAAACAATAATAATGGCTTCTGTTTAAGAATGAATGATCACTCTCACTTGTAGCATGTCATGTGGTGGTTGTCACTTTGAGATTGATCTCGGAGGAGGAGGATCTGTGGTGGATGTCTTGGGTGTTCCTTGGCATCGTGAATGTTTCTCTTGTGGTGCTTGCCACATACCATTTGCTATCGACGAGGTTCAAAACCATGTACGCAAAAACCAAAACAAAAACTACTCCCTTTTGTATTTTTATTTGTTGGAAAGCACCTAAATTCTTTGGTAACTAACACTTTAGGTTTCAAATTTAAGAGGCAAGTTTCACAAGGCCTGCTATGACCGGTACTGCTATGTCTGCAAAGATAAAATGAAGGTATAACCTTGCTGTATATTTTTCCATGGTGACTGGAATATAAATGTGAACTGTGTAATTTTTTCAGATGAGTTGCAATTTCCATCACTTCTGGGAGGGGAAATACTGCCCTTCTCATGAAACTGATGGAACTTCCAAGTGTTTCAGTTGCGAGAGGCTAGAGGTGTGAGTTTGTTTGCCTCCCCCCCCCTCAAGGAAACTAAAGTGCTCCTTAAAGATCTTTTATTTTTATTTATTTTTGGCAGCCTAGGGAAACGAATTTCGTAATGCTTGATGATGGAAGGTGGCTATGTTTAGAATGTTTGGACTCTGCTGTTATGGATACTTACCAAGTCCAGGCTTTGCACTTTGAAATCCGTGATTTCTTCGATGGCTTAAACATGAAGATTCATAAAGAGTTTCCTCTTCTTTTGGTGGAGAGACAAGCCCTGTATCAAGCTGAGAAGGGAGAGAATATTGTTAGTACATTCCCTAACTCTTTTTTTTTTTTTCTCTCTCTATGTATATATATATATACTTTTATTTTTCTTTTAACTCACAAGTTCAAACACAAGCAGGATAATCAGCATGGTGTGGTAACCAGAGGTATTTGCCTGTCTGAAGTGCAGATTGTCACAAGTGTAAGTGTAACACTGCTTTTTTTATACACGAGCTTTAATTAGAGTGTACAACAATATTCTGGCTCTAGTCGTGACTTAAAAAAAAACTCTCTGTTTCCACACATATATATAAACAAGGTGTCAAAAGGGCCCGAGAAGGAGCCGAGCAAGCAGCCATTAGGCCCCTTGGCCACGGAATCTCAAACGCTTGTGAGTGGATGCCCTGTCACTGCAATTCTCATCTTATATGGTCTTCCTAGGTACTCTACTGCTGTAAACATCACTAGCTAGCTTGTGTATACTCAGCTCCCATGGACTAAATCAAAGCTCTCTTTTTCAAAACAATACAGGTTACTAACAGGATCTATCATGGCTCACGAAATGATGCATGCTTATCTTAGACTCAATGGTATGTATGTATTATTGGTCATAAAAGTAAAAGACTCAAATGGTGTTTTTTTTGTTCTCAAGGATCGATATGAGAGAGAGAGTGTGTGTTTTGTTGGTTCTGGTTACAGGATTTAATAATTTGAACAATGTTGTGGAAGAAGGACTATGCCAAGTGCTGGGGCACATGTGGCTGGAGACTCAGAGATACGCCAATGTTGATGGTGATGTTGCTGCAGCTTCTTCTTCTTCCCCATCAAATGAGGGAAAGAAAGGGGAGTCGCCTGAGTACGAGAAGAAGCTGGTTGAGTTTTGCAAGAATCAGATTGAGACAGATGACTCACCAGTCTATGGTGTGGGGTTTAGGAAAGTTAACGATATGGTGACAAATTCCAGCCTCCAGGAAACCCTCAAAAAGATTCTTGGCCGCAGCCGGGGTTGAAGAAGAAGAAGACTCTGATCTCAGATTCAAAGTTTTGAATCAGCTCATGTACGTACGAAACATACCATATATATATATATATATGCACGATCTCAGATTCATTGTTAAATAAAGCTTGTTTTTGTGTGTGTGTGTGTAAACAGTCTTTTTTCTTGGTTTTCCTGTAAAGTTGGAACATTTCTGTTGGACCATTTGTTTCTCCACTGGAATATTTGTTCTGCAGACATCGCTCAAGTCTTACAATCTCCAAGTTAACTTTTCTTTTTAATGGTCATTCAGATTTTAGTCAAAACAAGAACACGACGTGCCTCTCAAGCACTGCTCATTTATTTGATCATTGTTAATAACTTATTCGTCGGTATTAGGATTATCAATAAGGGAACCACGTGATGATGGGGTATCTATCATCTTTATAAATCTTTTTCTTCTTCTTAAATGCGGGTTTAGGAGATCATATTAAATTACTAAAACAATAATTCCTTCCCCACTGAGATATAGAAAGCCATCTATATGATTATACCAGCGTAAAAGAAGAAAGAAAAAAATTATATATATATAGAGAGAGAGGCTATTAGGATATAAGCAATCTCCTAATCAAACCATGTAATACCAAACCTAAAAACTTATGTAAAGAGACCACTAATTTCAAATAGAAAGAGTCTGGAATCATTGATTAATAACATTAAAATCAAAAGTGACAAAAACATGCACTAGCAAATTTAGCAGAGCTGCAGAGATACGGACATAGACATCGTACAATACCAAAATAATTATAGAGTTGGAAATACATGATTAGGCCAACCAACTCAAAGCATTACCACTTGACCCATCAAAAGTGAAATCAGATTAATCAATCTACGTGTTACCCAAAACAAAGCGATGACTTTTTCCATCTCTCTTAACTTTTCTTGATTAGTTATTACATATATATCTTCACTACGGTATTAATTATATGTCTGTAAAATAGTTGATGTTCCCTGTCACTGGATATAATTAAATACATAATGTAGAAATACTATTTCACGTATAGAAGCATAAGGACATACAAGTCAGCATATTCGGACAAAAAAGAAATAGAAAGATATAAAGACCTCTATACATAGATTATACCTGCATCAAAAATAAATAGAAAGAGCCTATTAGGATATAAATGATATTTAAATCAAATCATGTTGTACAAAACCTAAATGTTTATGTAAAGACCAGTGGAGAACTAAAATAAAAAAAAAAATCTGAAATTAATTATTAAGGAAACAGATTTATTGTTTCGAAAGAACATTAGCCTAATACAAACATTCATTATCAGTTTAGCATCATCCTCATCATCATCGTACATTGCCAAAATAGTTTTGGAGTTGGGATTAGGCCAACTAAAAGCATATTATTACTTGACGATGGATGGCTAAAGTGATGTGAAATGAGTCTACGTGTGATAAAAAAAACATATCTTATTGCAGCATTAGTTATTTTTCTGTAAAAATAGTTGACGGTTGCCTAGCTGTCATAGGATATTTAAAATATATAATGTAGAAATATCATTTTCATTATGATTGCATCTATACGTATTTAGAAGGAAAAAAGCGAAAATGTGAACATATATACATAATTGCTTAACTATAGAATTTTAATATGTTATAATGATATAAATTTTGTTAACAAAAAAATAATAATGATATTATATTTGATTTATCATCTAATCGCATCAGACAATTTAGTCTCCCTCTTCTGCTTCCCCTAATATCTGTCTGTCTCTCACCATCGCTCCCCCTCTCGCGTTAAATTCAAAAGATGAATGCAAAAAAAGTGACTCTCTAATATTTTGGAAATTTCTGATAACTCTCATGGAAACTCCCATGAAGTTTCCAATTAAATGAAAGCAACGAGTTCCAGGGGGTTTGTTCGTGCTCCTTTTTTTTCCTCTAGACGGTGGTGAAGAAGAAGTTAAGAAGTATGGGATGGTTCTCCTGCTTCTTCAGTCCATCTACTACACAAGATGATCCATCTGAGGTGATTTTTTTTTTTTTAAAGAATTGTTTTCGTATATTTATAAGTTTTTAAGATGGGAATCGTGGTTCTTCTTTTGCTTTTGGTGATCTGAAAACTCTGCAGGATCAATATAAAACGGCCATCAAAATATCAAAGCATGAAAAAGAAGATGGCATCGTACGTCAGAAAAGAGAAAAAGAGGAACAGGCTGCGATAGAGAGAGCAACGCAAGAAAGCTTGAAGCAATTTGAGAAAGAGGAAGCAGAGAGAAGATTACAAGAGTCAAAGGAGAAAGGCAAACATGAGAAAGTGGTTGTTGATGATGATGAAAGAGTAGATACTGAACAGATTGAGATGAAAAGGGCAAGGGAAGAAAGCTTGAAGCAATTTGAGAAAGAGGAGGCAGAGAGAAGATTAGAAAAGTCAAAGGAAGAAGGCAAAAGAAAGCAAGTGGAGGAGGAGGATAAGGGACAATTTAAGCATTCCAAAGACAAACAAGTTGCTCCTCCTAGGTAATGCTTATGTGCATCTTGTGAAATTGAGTATCTAATCTTAAGGGGATTTTCTTTTGTTTCTTTGGAATTTCTATCTCTCAAAATCCTGAAATAGTTTTTTACTTGTTTACTTGGTAGCATATGCAATGGTTGCAAATCTGAGATCAAAGATGGACTATCTGTCAAAGCCCTTGGTGATCTTTGGCATCCTCAATGTCTATGTTGCCTTCATTGTCACAAACCAATTGCCATGGACCAGGTTTCAAGATCACAATAGTACCAGTTAATTGAGATATATATTGATTGCTGCTTTAATATTAGTTACTCCTTATAATTGACATCTGTGTATATAAACTACACTCCTTAGATTACAAGAAAAGGAAAATTTCATAGATCTTGCTATAAGGAGCAGCGTCACCCCACCTGCTGTGTCTGCCTAAAGAAGGTATATAAATTTCTCACTAGCTCTGTTGTCTTATGTAATGAAAGTACAGTTTGTAGTAAAGTGAAAAAGAGTTGGTCTGTTTATGACTTTTATGGATAAAACATGTTAACTGTACAGATATTGTTAATTCTTTCAGATTCCTTCAACAGAGGAAGGTATAAAGTACAATGAGCATCCGTTCTGGAAGGAGAAGTACTGTCCTTGTCATGATAGTGATGGAACTGCCAAGTGTTGTAGCTGTGAAAGATTAGAGGTACTATTTATAACTGTTGAGGTTTGTTATAAACAAAAAAGGTTAATTATAGTCTTTGGTGAGTTTTGGTATTTTCTTTTATGTTGGTTTTGTAGCCTAAGGGAACAAACTTTGTGATGCTTGGTGATGATCGGTGGCTATGTCTACACTGTATTGGATCTTCCGTCATGGATAGTGATGAATGCATTGACTTGCATGTGGAAATCCGTGACTTTTTAGAAGGTTTGTTCTTTAAAGTTGATAAAGAGTTTCCTCTTCTTTTGGTTGAGAAACAAGCTCTGAATAAAGCTGAGAAAGAAGAGAAGATTGTGAGTACATACACCATCCCCTTTACTTCTTTTTTTTTTTTTTAAATGCTTCCATCACTCTGTATACTCATGTGTTTCCCCAACAAACAGGACTATGATCATGCAGTGGTAACAAGAGGTATTTGCTTGTCCGAAGAGCAATATGTCACAAGTGTAAGACATTTCCAAGTCGTTTAACATAACTTAGAGATTCTCTTTCATTCAAAAATTTGGAGTTGTTGAGATTCACGATCTGCTTCTACATACTGTATTAACAGGTCAAAGAAGGACCAAAGAGGGGACCAAACAACACGCTAATCAACATGGTTACTGAGACTCAAATGGTGAGTGGATGTGAGGTCACCGCAATTCTCATCATATATGGACTTCCTAGGTTACTCACAGGATATATCTTGGCTCACGAGATGATGCATGCTTGGCTTAGACTCAACGGTAAAATCCAATTTATATAATTTATAACCACTGATTCATGGAGAGACCTCACAGATTTAAAGTACCTTTTTGGTTTTGATATTTTCACAGGTTATAAAAATCTTAAGTTAGAGCTTGAAGAAGGACTATGTCAAGTGTTAGGCCTCAAGTGGTTGGAGTCTCATACATTTTCTTCTGCTTCTTCTTCTTCCAACACCCCTCCAGCTGCAAGCACGTCGAAGAAAGTTGACGACTGGTCTGATTTTGAGAAGAAGCTCGCCGAGTTTTGCATTCATCAGATAAAGGAAGATGATACACCGCTCTATGGTCGAGGATTTAAACAGGTTTACGAGATTTTGGTCTCAAATCACTACAGCCTTAAGGAAACCCTGAAAGACATCGTCAACGCTTCCAAGAGTGTACCAGTTTCAAAGTTTTGAGTGACTCGATCAGCCCATATGTTATACGTATACCAATAATATACATAAACACATATACGTACACACTGCTTTCTACTTTTGTAGTATTGCTCTTTATTCTGTTTCTAACAGTTTTTCTTCTTTGTTTTTGCGCGTCATACAAATGTTCTCTTTTCGTTACACTCATGAACTTCTTGATTTGGGGAAAGGAGTCTTTAAAACTGTCTACGCAATTCTATAGATTAGAAGAATTAAGTAGAGAAAGTTTTCATTAGGTATAATGAAGTTTATTTTAATCTCAATAAAACCTTTAGGCGGTAATATTTTTAGTTTGGTATCCGGATATATATGAAGAAAACAAAAAGAAATAAGATCAAGAAGGAGCAGCTGAATTAGTCAACGCTGGACGATGTATCTTCTGTAGCTTTGTAAACCGGTCAATATCAAAACCAAGCGATTTAATCAATTGAATCTGCTTCTTCTCGAACCGGCTTTTGAAAAAACCTCCGAAAGTAGGTTCCTTTGATGTTCGGAGGAAGAAGCCATAACCAGCCATGAAATAACCCATACTTACGTAATAGCATATTGGCTCCATCACGTCCCATGACAGTTCCCAAAATGTCAACCTAAAACATCCAATAGTTGGAGCTATCACAAGCCCTAATCCTGCATATAATTCTCTCTTTGCCATAGTTTCGGCTCTTTTGTCAATATCTGATTTTATAACCTCAAGTTGCTCAAACTCTTGTCTTGTCGCGGCATCGTGAGTGGATTCGTGTGTCGGAATTAGACCAGCCACTGCGTTTGTTAGCTGTAGTCAGACATATTAACAAGAAAAAAATTAGATTTTAATTTAAGGTTGACGTTGTAAATCTGTGTAATGCATGCATGCATGGTTATAAAAAGAAAAAACAAATTACCTCATCCGGTTTAAGGCAGACGAAATTTCCCAAAACGATGACGTCTCCACCTTCCTCAAGCATATTCGCGACCCGGTTACCTTGTTCAGGATCCGAATCGTTTTCTCCGCAAACCCGAACAAACTCCGAATAAGAAACCCATTTTTCCCCCATTTCTCTCAGCCTCGTTCTCACCATCTCCATTTCCGCTGCCCTCATTAGCTTCTTCACGTCAGCCATCGTAACCGCCTGTGCAATTCCCGGAGACGTATTCTCCGGCGTCGGTGGCGGTAGCATCTCGTCGAGGCGAATCCTATTATTGGACAAACTCAGCTCCTTGAGTTTTTCCATCAGAGTACCTCCTTTTGGAGATATCTCCGGCCAGAAAAGTGCCTTCTTGTGGATAAATCTCCGGCGGATTCCAGAATCTCCGGCGACCGGAGTAATGCCGGGTTTGGTCGGAGGACGCATTCGGGACATCCGGGAATAGGTTTTGGGAATGTTGAAGAAATTACGAACTAGAGTTTTCTTAGACGCCATCGTTCGATTTCTAAAGGGAAAGGAAAAACGTTTGATTTTAGGGAGAGACAGAACATAAGAACAGGCTTTTGTATTTTTTGGTCCGAATATTAAAACTGAAGACTTGATATGCTTCCTTTTATAGTATTGGCGTAGGACGCAAGCAAACGAGAAGCTCCCAATAAAGAGCATCTTATCAAGATATATATTTTTACACGACAGTTACACATAGGCGTTGCTTATCTATTTCTCACCTTATTTAAAGTATTTAAAACGTTAGTTATGATACAGCTAATTCTTTACTGTAATTGTATAATTAACGACGCTAATAAACATGTGGATAGTTGACAAAACAAAATATAGATAAAACCATCATATATATTTATGAGTGCAATCATGCATTTTGTCAGTCATTATTAGTGCGAGTACACTGAATAAAACTATATAAAACCATTGACTAATGAAGAATTTCATTCACATTTTTAAAACATGTACAATACTAATGATATGATATGATTTATATTGCATATTTGAAACCTTAAAGGTTTCCGTTTCTCCAGAAAATATGATTTTTATTGGAGTTAATCGACATATTAAGTGATATATGAATGTTAAATAAATTAATCACTGGAAATTTAGACATGATGCCCATGTACCATAAATATATGTTTAGCCCACATTTTTCAAAAAAATATATAAAAAATGAAATTTTTATTTTAATGCATAGCTGCATCATACACCAACATAGTATGAATATTAAATAGTTTTGAGTACTTAAATGTTTCTATTTCTCCAGAAAATAGGATTTTTATTGGGGATAATCCACATATTAAGTGATATATGAATGTTAAATAAACTAATGATTGGAAAATTAGAAATGATTCACATGTACCATAAGGATAAGTTAAGCAAACATATATAAAATTTTGGAGTGAGTTTAGGTATTTTTTAAACAACATGAAAGATGGTAACTAGTATATATAGTATTTAACGGAAAATTCAGTTTTTCATAGGGGGTTAGCCCACATATTTCAAGAAAAATTATAAAAAAGGAATTTTTGTTTTAATGCATAGCTGCATCATACACCAACATAGTATGAATATTAAATAGATTTGAGACCTTAAATGTCTTCGTTTCTCCCGAAAATAGGATTTTTATTGGGGTTAAACGACATATTAAGTGATATATGAATGTTAAATAAACTAATGATTGGAAAATTAGAAATGATTCACATGTACCATAAGGATAAGTTAAGCAAACATATATAAAATTTTGGAGTGCGTTTAGGTATTTTTTAAACAACACGAAAGATGGTAAATACTATATATAGTATTTAACAGAAAATTCAGCTTTTTCAAAGTGTTAGCCCACATAATTCAAGAAAAATTATAAAAAATAAAATTTTTGTTTTAATGCATATCTTAATCATACACCAACATAGTATTAATACTAAAAAGGTTTGAGACCTTAAATAATTCTATTTCTCCAGAAATTAGGATTTTTATTGGGGTTAATCGACATATTAAGTGATATATGAATGTTAAATAAACGAATGATTGTAAAATTAGACATGATGCCCATGCACCATAAAGATATGTTAGCAAACATATATAAAATTTGGAGTGCATTTAGGTATTTTTTAAACAACACGAAAGATGGTAAATACTATATATAGTATTTAACGGAAAATTCAGCTTTTTCAAAGTGGTTAGCCCACATATTTCAAGAAAAATTATAAAAAATAAAATTTTTGTTTTAATGCATAGCTTAATCATACACCAACATAGTATTAATACTAAAAAGGTTTGAGACCTTAAATAATTCTATTTCTCCAGAAATTAGGATTTGTATTGGGGTTAATCGACATATTAAGTGATATATGAATGTTAAATAAACTAATGATTGTAAAATTAGACATGATGCCCATGCACCATAAAGATATGTTAGCAAACATATATAAAATTTGGAGTGCATTTAGGTATTTTTTAAACAACACGAAAGATGGTAAATACTATATATAGTATTTAACGAAAATTCAGCTTTTTCAAAGTGGTTAGCCCACATATTTCAAGAAAAATTATAAAATAAAATTTTTGTTTTAATGCATAGCTTAATCATACACCAACATAGTATGAATACTAAAAAGGTTTGAGACCTTAAATAATTCTATTTCTCCAGAAATTAGGATTTTTATTGGGGTTAATCGACATATTAAGTGATATATGAATGTTAAATAAATTAATCATTGGAAAATTAGACATGATGCCCATGCACCATAAAGATATGTTAGCAAACATATATAAAATTTGGAGTGCGTTTAGGTATTTTTTAAACAACATGAAAGATGGTAAATAGTATATATAGTATTTAACGGAAAATTCAGCTTTTTCATAGGGGTTAGCCCACATTTTTCAAGAAAAAATATAAAAAATGAATTTTTTATTTTAATGTATAGCTTCATCATACACCAACGTAGTATGAATATTAAATAGGTTTGAGACCTTAAATGTTTCCATTTCTCCAGAAAATAGGATTTTTATTGGGATAATCCACATATTAAGTGATATATGAATGTTTAATAAATTAGTCATTGGAAAATTAGAAATGATTCACATGTACAATTTAGATAAGTTAAGCAAACATATATAAAAATTTGGTTTAGGTATTTTTTAAACAACACGAAAGATGGTAAATACTATATATAGTATTTAACGGAAAATGCAGCTTTTTCATAGTGGTTAGCCCACATATTTCAAGAAAAAATATAAAAAATGTAATTTTTGTTTTAATGCATAGATACATCATACACGAACATAGTATGAATATTAAATAGGTTTGAGACCTTAAATATTTCTATTTCTCCAGAAAATAGAATTTTTATTGGAGTTAATCGACAAATTAAGTGATATATGAATGTTAAATAAATTAGTCACTCAAAAATTTGATATAATGCCCATGTACCATAAAGATATGTTTAGAAAAAATATATAAATTTGGAGTGCGTTTAGGTATTTTTTAAGCAACTTGAAAGATGGTAACTAGTATATATAGTATTTAACGGAAAATTCAGCTTTTTCATAGGGGTTAGCCCACATATTTCAAGAAAAATTATAAAAAATGGAATTTTTGTTTTAATGTATAGCTGCATCATACACCAACATAGTATGAATATTAAATAGATTTGAGACTTTAAATGTTTCCGTTTCTCCAGTAAATAGGATTTTTATTGGGGTTAATCCACATATTAAGTGATATATGAATGTTAAATAAACTAATGATTGGAAAATCAGAAATGATTCACATGTACCATAAGGATAAGTTAAGCAAACATTTATAAAATTTTGGAGTGCGTTTAGGTATTTTTTAAACAACACGAGAGATGGTAAATAGTATATATAGTATTTAACAGAAAATTCAGCTTTTTCATAGTGGTTCACCCACATATTTCAAGAAAAATTATAAAAATGGATTTTTTTGTTTTAATGCATAGCTTAATCATACACCAACATAGTATAAATACTAAAAAGGTTTGAGACCGTAAATAATTCTATTTCTCCACAAATTAGGATTTTTATTGGGGTTAATCGACATATTAAGTGATATATGAATGTTAAATAAATTAATCATTGGAAAATTAGACATGATGCCCATGCACCATAAAGATATGTTTAGCAAACATATATAAAATTTGGAGTGCGTTTAGGTATTTTTTAAACAACATGAAAGATGGTAAATAGTATATATAGTATTTAACGGAAAATTCAGCTTTTTCATAGGGGTTAGCCCACATTTTTCAAGAAAAAATATAAAAAATGAAAATTTTATTTTAATGCATAGCTTCATCATACACCAACATAGTATGAATATTAAATATGAGACCTTAAATGTTTCTATTTCTCCAAAAAATAGAATTTTTATTGGGGATAATCCACATATTAAGTGAGATATGAATGTTAAATAAATTAGTCATTGGAAAATTTGAAATGATTCACATGTACCATTAAGATAAGTTAAGCAAACATATATAAAATTTTGGAGTGCGTTTAGGTATTTTTTAAACAACACGAAAGATGGTAAATACTATATATAGTATTAACGGAAAATTCAGCTTTTTCATAGTGGTTAGCCCACATATTTCAAGAAAAAATTTTAAAAATGTAACTTTTGTTTTAATGCATAGCTACATCATACACAAACATAGTATGGATATTAAATAAGTTTGAGACCTTAAATGTTTCTATTTCTCCAGAAAATAGGATTTTTATTGGAGTTAATCGACATATTAAGTGATATATGAATGTTAAATAAATTAGTCACTGAAAAAATTGAAATGATGCCAATATATCATAAAGATATGTTTAGAATACATATATAAAATTTGGAGTGCGTTTAGGTATTTTTTTAAACAACATGAAAGATGGTAACTAGTATATATAGTATTTAACGGAAAATTCAGCTTTTTCATAGGGATTCGCCCACATATTTCAAGAAAAATTATAAAAAATGGAATTTTTGTTTTAATGCATAGCTGCATCATACACCAACATAGTATAAATATTAAATAGATTTGAGACTTTAAATGTTTCCGTTTCTCCAGAATATAGGATTATTATTGGGGTTAATCCACATATTAAGTGATATATGAATGTTAATAAACTAATGATTGGAAAATTAGAAATGATTCACATGTTCCATAAGGATAAGTTAAGCAAACATATATAAAAATTTGGAGTGCGTTTAGGTATTTTTTAAACAACAAGAAAGATGGTAAATAGTATATATAGTATTTAACAGAAAATTAGTTTTTTCATAGTGGTTAGCCCACATATTTCAAGGAAAATTATAAAAAATGTAATTTTTGTTTTAATGTGTAGCTTCATCATACACCAACATAGTATGAATATTAAATAGGTTTGAGACCTTAAATGTTTCCGTTTCTCCAGAAAATAGGATTTTTATTGGGGTTAATCCACATATTAAGTGATATATGAATGTTAAATAAATTAATCATTGGAAAATT